AGGTGGTACAACTAATGCTTCATGTCACATATAGATGATAAGCATGGAGTGTCTCTGCTGGAAGACAAAGGAGTAACAGTCTTCTCCGTGGCTTGTTATCATCTCTATTCACTTCTGAATAGCGGGAGAGCTCCTTAGATAAAATGTTCACATGTGTGGGTATACATATTAACCTTTCAGTTTCTGTTTGCTGAGGTATTATTAAAATGCTTCTTGTCATTCAAATATAGTATTCTTCATAGTCACTGTGCAGACACACACAGGTGAACAATCCCCACGTCCCATTAAAATATTTCAGAGCCACTTTGGCAATTTATACTTGTCCCTTTGACTCTAATTCTTTGACCACCACAACAGAAGCATCTGCTGGAACATTCTCATGTTTCACACACTGGCTGAGAAAGGTCCATAAAATTTGTTCTCTCTTCAGTTTGTTCCTGTTCTCCTCAATTTTGCATTTTAATTATCTTTATTTTAAAAGAGTGTCCACATTATAAAGATGGGGATAGGAGATATGTTTTAAGTGGAGGACCTCATTTCCATGTGGGAGAGTATTTAGAAGCCACACTGGCCAGTATCAGAATTGATAGTGGATGGTGACAGACCCAAAGATAAGCCAGTTCACATCATTCTCCTTCACACGCCATTCACATTCACCCATTCAGCCACGCACTTACCTCAATCACATTAATCCATCCACACAATCATCCCTCCCTACACAAACACACTTAATGCATAGGCATACACAATCATCAGTATTGTATTTCCAAACACAGGAAGTCAGTACACAGCTTTTCCTCAATTAGCTCCTTGTTTGATCCTCATAAGGGGTGCAAAGAAAGGAAAGATCAGGTTTTCTGGCCTCTAGCATGGAAACACTGCAAGGTGCTGATGAAAAATAGCCTCTTGTTCCTTTGTCAGTTGGGCTCTACAGCCAAGCTGCTAGGATACTCAGCAGTTAAAGGAGAAAAATCTTCCTGCATGGCATGGAGTTGGATTGGGTGGCCCTTGTGGTCTCTTTCAACTCTCTGATTGTATGACCGAGAGGCCAATCTCATCCTGCCTGCCACTTTGATAGCATGCACTCAGCTTAAGTCTGCTTCTCTATTTTTACTTTTTTCTCCTTCCCACTCTTGATTAAAATTCTCTGGGGCTAGGGACACAAGACCCCTGTGAAAGTGAAAAAAACGCAAATCAAAAAAACCTATTTTTTTACCTGAGAAAACATTTCTCTAGGCATTTGTTGGTCCTCCAGTGCAACTCTATGATCACCATCTGCCAGAAGATGTCCATAGAATTGTACTGGAGGACCTACAAATGCCTAAAGAAGTGTTCTCTCTAGGAATATCTAAGTCCTCCCACATGATTTCTTCAGACACTGCCCAAAGAGTTGAGTTGGAGGACCTAGAGATTCTTATAGAACATATTAATCAAATACATGACTAATCAAATCTGCAAAAGTCAAAGCCACATATGTGGAAGGCTGCCTTCTCTTTCACTCTTCCTTTGAATTCCCCTTCCTGAGTGAACCTGGAAACCACCAAACATGTCCAGACTTGTACAGAGTGATGAATAAAATCCCAGTCAAGCCAGAGACACTCCAGTACTGCCAAAGCCTCCCCAGTCCTGCTCAAGAGACCAGGATGCCTGGAGTGAGGTGCATCCAGCCCAAGGGGGCAGGGGGATGCAGGACTAAAGAAGGGAAAATCCTTCCATGCCATGCCTCAGACTCAATGCCAACCCAGCCCAAAATAGAGCAGGTGTGGAGGGGAACAGTTCAGTATTGGAGACTGAGCACAGGGGCAAAACATCAAAGGGAGGCAGTTACTGCCAGACTTCATGACCTACCTCAGGGAACTTGTGTCTTGGGAAGCTGCAACCATTGTTTTGGCTGTTGCAGCCCACATGGCAAGTGT